CTTTCTTTTCATCAACAATTAAATCTTTATCTTCTTCACTTACTTTAACATTATTTAAATCTTTATTTACTTTACTTTCAATTGGCTTATTATTATTGATTGTTTTATTATTTAAATTTTTAATATGCCCTGTAAATCTATTAATATTAGGAGGAAATACCAAAGGTTTAAATGGTTTAGTAGTTTTAATAACAGGCTTAACATCTTCTTTTTTAATATTTTTAACTGGTGATAAATCACTTTCATCACTATTTAAAGTTAAATTATTTTTACCTAAATTATTCTTATTATTAATTAACTCATCATTATTCATTTTATTAGTATCATCAATAGATAATTCAAAGTTATTATTACTGTCATTTTTAATTGATGATTTATTATTATCTGAATCATTCTTAACTGATGATTCATTCTTATTCAAATTATTCTTAATTGGGAAGTCATAATCATCATCACTGTCAAATAATGGAACCTTTTTAACTTCCTTTTTCTTACTTAATTCATCCTTCTTATCTGAATCATTCTTATCTGATGATTCATTCTTATTCATATTATTTTTAATTGGGAAGTCATAATCATCATCACTGTCAAATAATGGAACCTTTTTAACTTCCTTTTTCTTACTTAATTCATTCTTCTTTAGTGGTGATTTACTCTTATCTAAATTATTCTTAATTGGTAATTCAAAGTCATTATCATCACTACCAAATATTGGCGACTTCTTAATATTATCTTTCTTTAATTCATTAACCTTATCACCTTTTTTATTTAAATTATTCTTGTTAATAAGTGAATCAGAAGTCTCATTAATAATCAAATCATTTTTAATATCCTTATTATTATCACTTAATTGATCTTCTCTATCAGATTGAATAGAAGTTGATTTAGAATTCTTACAATCACTGATTGAAGTCAACTCGCTTTGATTATTATCTGAGAATGACTCTTCTAAAAGGTTTTCATGTCTACTTGAGTTGTTAGTAGCATAAGCCTCACTATATGAATTATCCTCCTCTTTTACATTATTCGTTTCTAATGATTCAATCTTATCTTCTAATACATCTTCATTAATATTACTAACAAATTCATCTTTCTTCTCAGTAATTATATTCTCTTCTATAAACTTATCAACAGAATCCTGATAGTTAGAATGATCTAATAATAACTTAATAAAATCAATAGGTGATCTTTTAGTATTTTTAATTACATCTAAAGGAATATTCATACTTAAAGAATCAGTCACAACTTCATTCTTAACAATAGAATCACTTACAACCTCAGTTTTAACATTAGAATCACTTACAACTTCATTTTTAACATTAAAATCAGTTACAACTTCATTCTTAACAATAGAATTAGTTTTAATAACATTGTTTGTTTCAGTATTATTATCTGATTTTGAAACTACATTTGATTGATTGTTTTCAATTTTCTTATCATCTGTTACAGATGATTCAGTACATACAGTTTTTCCATAAAATTTTGCAAAAGCACCAAGTGTATCTTCATCATCATCTTCATAAAGCCAATCAAACAATTTACTATTAGTTATACGAACAGGCTTTACAGGTTTTTTCTTCTTAATTACTTTAAACTTTATACCATCAATCATTACATATCTGTCCTCTTCTTTATCTTCATTGTTATTGTTTACATTAGTAATACTATTATTCACTTTGTTATTGTCTGCACTATTAATGCTATTCGTATTATCATTTTTAAAATAGAATGGTTTATCTGAATCAAATATCTCAAAAAAGTTCTTGTTATAAAGCGTCATTTTAATTTCCGGTTCTTTCTTTTCATCTCTCATTTCTCTGAATGTCATACAAAATAAAATAAATAAAAATAATAAAATAATTGTTTCAGATTTTTGAATTTATTTAACAACAACTACGTTTTTCACTGGCATTAATATTAATCATTGAATTAGATCCATCCTCTAATTTAGGGTTCATTTCAATATCTTTGTTTATTAATTCTTTCAATGCATTAAATAACTTCTCTATATCATCTTTTTCATAAACAGATGTTGTACAAAATGTAGCATTGATACTCTTGGCATATTCAAGTCCACTTTCATCATTAATGTATTCCTGGTTTCCAAGAGTGTTTGATCTTAAATCTCTTTTATTTGCAACTATGATTATGTTATTATTACTACCATTTATGTTTCTATAACTTTCTACCCAATACTTGAGATCCTCAAAAGACTTTGGATCATTAATACTGTAAACAATTATTGCTAAGAATGAATTTCTTAAGTAAAATGTTACTAGTGCTCTATATCTTTCTTGTCCTGCTGTATCCCATATGTGCAGTTTTACTTGTTTTTCACCTTCTTTTGTTTGTATTTTAGCATTTGATGTAAATGAATCTATTCCTATTGTTGGTTCTAATCTTTCTACTCCATCTGTAACATACTTATAGATTATTGATGATTTCCCAACTGATGTGTTTCCAAGAAGAATTATTTTATATGATTTTCTCATTGAATAAATTTGAGGGCTAGAAATTTTTTATTTAAATTAAATTTTAATAAGTTTTTTATT